GCGTCTACCACTTTTGCGGCTCTACAAAAACCGGTCGGTGTTCAGTAACCTTTTAACACGGCAGCGAGGCACATCTTCTCGCGGCGGTCGGCACAGGCAGTGAGCCGGCGGGGTTTGTTTAGGTTGATGGATGGTTTTCCGTCTACTTGACACAACAGCGGGGTGTCCATTGTCGGAACAAAACTAACATTCAAACAGGATTGTGCTTGAGGAAATTGGGGATTTCTCGTATGTATGGGTAACAAGCTTAAACATAAGGTCCGTTTTATAAAAGAAAAGAATAGCATATCACTTTGCATATATATTAGGTAATAAGAATATGCTGATGATGTCATATCACGTCATCATTCAAAATCTCTGTAAATATAACGTACAGAACTAAACAATGCAGTCGATAAAGCTTAACACAGAATGTATTGTTCAAAATACACAAAATCTAGCCAGAAAAAAATCATATTAAACTAGTAAAAAGCACATTTATTGTTTTTTTATCAGAAGTTCAACACTATGACTAGTACTCACTCATTAAAGGAAAGTCTGGCAGTCTTTTTCCCTCAGTCACGAAAAGTATTCCAAAACATTGTTACATACCAAAACCGCTAGAAAGCAGATCTAGTATATTTCAAAACTTACGATTAAAGCCAGCTAACTATATAGATCAGAACACCTAAAATGAAAATAGAGAAAAAAAGTCGACATGACTGTCACTCTTATATCGCGCCCACAGCTTAAAACGTTAGGAACATTTTGAGATATCGTGTACGGATTCGAAACCGCCTCATCAGCTTCAGAATTCAGAGTTCTACGATAAATTTACGTATTACAACGTTAAAATGCGAGGTTTGTGTCCTACTGGATACCTTTGCGCTAAAACAAAGAAAAGAAACCACGGGGCAAACCTGCTTCCTTTTGAATAGTGGAACTTCGATTATAAATAAAGATGTGTGATTTAATAAAGTATTTCTGAGTTTCTGAAGTGTATAATAATAATGGTATTATTTATAAAGATCCTTATAAACCTTTACGTGATCAATTTATCGAATTAGAGCAACATTTAGGGTTTTGTTAATCGAAAACATAATCACACCAGTGTTACACGCTCAAGAAACCCAGGGTCGAAAACAGGGTAAATCATATTGAAAACTGTTGCTGAGGCAATAAATGATAAACAAGTGTAGGTTTTTAGTACATACACCTACCTCCAGGCTAGTCAGTGGTGACCCGAGTGATATATACTTGCTTTGAACGTTTAATAAACACTTCACAAAATTATCTGAAGAACACATCTTGTACGCAATAAGGATTTTTTCCTAAATATATGAAGTATTGTTAAACAGATTTTGTCTGAGCATTTTACCCGCTAAAAAATTAATTAATCAATTAATTGAAATTATGTTAGTTTCACGTTGCTATGTTTGGATTTTACAAACTCATTACGTACACTACGTTGCTAAATAAAATACTCTAACAAGAAAAACAGTAAGGGTTCTAGAAACATTCACATGAACTGAGTATCTGCTGGCTGAACGCAAGCATTTTGTTTGAATTCTCTTGTTCTTAAATAACATTTGATTTTATGGGCTAGATATTCAATAATTATTATATAAAGCCAGATATATAATGCAAGAAAGAATTGTTTTAATTGAACCAGCAGGCTCTGTTTGAATTCAGTAAATAGTTAAATGTTCAGTTTAACCTTAAATGATGAATTCGAACAAATTTTCAATGACGTAGAAAAGATGCGGAGAAACGCAGAATAATTAGAATCAATCGTAAAACTGGAATATGTAAACATTTATAAAGATGGACGTAGATTTAAAGATCCTTTCCCAGTTTCGTGTATTTTTCGTTTCTGATGTTTTGAGCTATTGTATTTTTTTTTATTATGGTTTTTAATTTATAGCACATGTACCGGACGTGGTCTAGTATTTAACGTGATCGGACTGTCATTCCGAGGGTTCGGATTTGCATTCCTTTGTCGAAAAAATACACTCCTCTCATTGGATCCGTTATTAGGCTACAAGAGTTACTATGAAAACTCACTATTCGGTCAGTTTTGGTGCTAGCCGTCCCTAATTTAGCAGTGAAAGACTAGAGGGAAGGCAGCTAGTCATCAACACCCACCGTCAACTCTTGGTCTACTCTTTTACCATCGAAAAGTGGGATTGACCGTCACATTATAACGCCCCAAAGTCTGAAAAGTCGAGCATGTTTGATGGAACGGGGATTCGAACCCACAGATTGTGAATCGAGCGCCCTAACCAACTGGCCAATCAGTCAGATATGAATAGTCCAAGAGTTAGCAGTTGGTGTTGTTGTCTAGCTGATTTTACTTTAGCCTGTCAGTTCAATTTGAGATGATCGTACGCAGATATTCCTTGTGTAGCTTTGCGAGAAGAGCATAAAAACAGACACTCAGGCGAATTTATAACACCTTCATACAACTGAACCTTTACAACTTTATACAGTTCAAATTTAATTTTCATTTTACACGATCTTCGTTTACTTAAACTTTCCATCACACTAATACCTCTACTTCAGAAAGATGTTAAAAAGTATAAACTATATAAATAAAAAAAAACAGATCAGTGTGATTTTTGTGAGCGGGACAAACAGTTTATGCTTAGAGATTTCGAGCAATAAATTGTGTTAAATTGTTTTTCTCTGTCTAAAAACAAACTTTCCCTGTGATAATATATTAACAGACAGAAATGGGTGTTTTTCTAAAGAGTGCTTTTTCAAATTTACTAAGTGCTTATTTTGTTAACTAAGAAAGAGTTTTTGTATTTTACCCCCAGTCTTTCAACACGTGCATGCTGAAATCCACTTAAGACTGAACTTGTGTTTACCCAAGTTAGCATCGATTTACGTCAGGCGTCATGGAACTTTCAAAAGGCGTAGGTGGCATGGTGATATGGATATTCAACAAAGAAAACTACTTGTTTTTTAAAGATTTACAAACTATTAAGTTGGATTGTACGATTTCTTGCTTCATATCTGTTATGACTTTTTTCTAACGGATATGTTGTTTCAAGGCTTAAGAACCAAATTTCCCAACCCAAGAACATTTTCATCTGGCCTCTTAACAAATCAATAATTCCATCCTTTCTTTATCTTCCTTGTTTCACAACTAACTTTTTTTTTTTTACTTTACTAATCCACAATTTCTGCCAAATTTTAGACTTGTATTTTACTATCCTCTAGAATCTCCTTATGGTGTATAATCAAAATATAATAAAAATACTGAAACATAACAGCGATATGAATACAAAAACAGCAGACTAAGAACGAATACTGATAGAATATCCCGGTGTACAATACTAAAAGAATAGCAACCATATCACAACAGGTTGGGAGACAATAACTAACAGACTGTTCTAGCGTAAAATACTAAAACATAGCAATAATAAACATATAATAAGTTGGGAGAAAATAACTAAAAGATTGCTATAGTGTAAAGTATTAAAACATAGGATTAACAACCATATCACAACATTAAAACATAGGAATAACAACCATATCACAACAGGTTAGGAGACAGTAACTTACAGAATACTCTGACACGTAATATTAAAGTATAATATCAATTACAACAGGAAAGGTTGGAAGACAGTGATAAGTAGTAGTAATTAGAGGGGTATTCACTACAATATGATGATTTTTTTTAACGTTTTGTGCGACTCGTACTTGTACGTTGTTAGGATCCCTGTAACTCAGAAAGCCATGGGCAACAAACAATTTTAGGCATAACCATTTTATAAAAATGTATTTAAAAATAGATAGGCCCTTATCGGTAATGTTAGGGTTAACACTAACAAGGGAATCTACGTGAATAACAAGTTAATGAAAAACATAGCAATTTACAGCTCGGTCGATGTCACTGATTTCAATCACTGTTTGTGACTTTACAGTAAGTTCTTGGGACGACAACATATCACATACACACAGTTGCTAAACAGTTGTTTTCAAGAGAATAATATGAAGGGGAAGCATCACGTAAATACACTATATTTTGTATCGTTCGTTTGCAAATAAATATGTTAGTATGGGTATTTATTTTGCAAATAGATAAGATAACAATCAATAGTCGGTTCAACAAGGTTATAAAATCACAATCGGTTCAACAAAGTAATAAAACCACAGTCGGTTCAACAAAGTAATAAGTCAATAGTCGGTTCGACAAAGTAATAAGTCAATAGTCGGTTCGACAAAGTAATAAGTCAATAGTCGGTTCAACAAAGTAATAAGTCAACAGTCGGTTCAACAAAGTAATAAGTCAACAGTCGGTTCGACAAAATAATAATCAATAGTCGGTTCAACAAATTAATAACCAACAGTCAATTCAATAAAATAATAATAATAATAGTCAGTGCACTAAAGAAAAATCAAGGGTCAGTTCCATGTAACAAATATTAAACGGCCAGTTCCACAACAGATAATAGCGCTCTAATAGTAAACGCTGGGGCCTCATCTGACCTTTTGTTTGAAAAATGGTGCTCATTGGGTATTTCATTGGGTGTGTCTATGTGAAAGATGACAAAATATAGACGTAGGGAGGGTTGAAAAAATCCATCATCTATTAAAAACAAAATTGAATATAATGTTTACATTTAAGTTTGCATTTCTAAGGTTTTTTGGTTTTCCCCCTACATTTTTGACCGAATAAGAACAACCAGCAAGCAGTTCAATAAGAACAGCCAATAATCCAACACAAATGCCTTTTTTTTCATCATATTCATTCAATGATACGAATTACTGTCCTAAACCTCCTTCCTCAAAATGTTTTATTTTTAAATTTTCAACTTGTATAAAAAGAAATGCAAGCAATATGTTCAGAAATTTAAAAAAATATACTATTTTGATTCATTTTGAAGTGTGAAATGCGTGTTTTATTATCATCCTTAATACAATTATTCCAACACCTTTCTTACCGTACTGTGATCAAAGTAAACAAGACAGTTGGGAATACAAAGAGTTACACTGGATCGGTTTGTACCTACCATACACTGTCAAAACTGCAGTTTCGCTGAAACGCTGACTTGCCACATTTTCAGCCCTACACGTGTAGTTCCCCATGTCGGCTAACCGCGCTTGACTGATCAATAAGTTGCCCTCGTTCGAAATTATAAAGTTTGTTTCCTTGCTGGTGTCAATGATCTCGCCGTTTCGTACCCAGGCAATTTTTGGAGGAGGAACACCCTCTGGTGGCAAACACTGGAGCGAAATCTGGCCTTCTATTTGAATGCTGGTACTCAATGGTTGGTTGAAGAAGTGCTTCTTTAGGTCTAGGTGAAAAATGACCAGATTGCGATGTAGGGAGGATTTTTAAAATTCAACAGTGTGACTTAATATACTCGAAAGAATTGGTAATCCATTATTAGAAAAAAAAAATATATATATATATATATAATGAATATAATGATTACATCAAGTTTCCATTCTTAAAAGGAAAACTTAAGGAAGATTAAAAATGTCTCTGGTTTTCTCACATGAAACATCATGTAAACAACATTGGTTAGTGGAACATAAAAAAAGAGCAGCCTGAAAAGATTGGGGGGGGGTACGCAAGACACCAACACCAGAAAGACTGCAGTCAATTCAGTTCGAGGGGGACTAGGCAGGGCACTGACACAAGCTAGCCTGTAGGCAGACACAGATGGGCTAGGCAAGACACTGACACCAGCTAGGAAAAGCCTTTTAAAGATGCTGTAAAATGAATGGAGCAGGGAGACAAAGCAAAATCTGAATAAACACGCGAGGGAAATAATTTTAGATGCATCTATACCAGCAAGAAGCTGCTTTATGTTTGTTTCAGAAATAATAATACATATTTCTGTGTAATACATGAAATACTCTGTAATTAAACTAGACATAAAACAAACTATTGGCTACGTACGCTTGCAAAGATAGCCCTCTACCTAAACCAAAATCGGTCAGCTGGAAATCCTGTTGTAAAAAAAAAAAATTAAGTTAATTTCAGATTTTTCCTCGAAAGAATGAAATTCGTTTCTATAAAGGTTATTGGCTTTCCTGATCTTGGATTTAGTGCACATTCGTACTTGAATGGTGCTATTCGCATACTGTAAGTCGTATATAATTTGTTGAAAACTAAATAGTTTCCCCTTTAAACATCATTAAGATAACTTCAATTAGGAGTTTTATTAACGAAGCCCTGATTATCTTATTCAAATACTCAGAATACATACCCGAAACGGAAATAATACATCAAGGAAAAAAACTGATGTTTGATCGTTTTTATATCTGCTTAAAAACATTTTTTGTTACAGGTGAACAAAAAAAATAGTTATCAATAGAAAAGCTATTTTTGTTGTTACTGTTCTTTCTTTTTGGTGTGTTGACAAATATGATCTCTCTCTCTCGCTCTGTGTGTGTGTGTGTGTGTGTGTGTGTGTGTGTGTGTGTGTGTGTGTGTGTGTGTGTGT